TATGAAAATCATACTGTGTTTTTACAGGCTATGAGAAGACAGAGGATGTTTCAGAAAAAACTTCCCTAGCTGATCAAGAGGAAGTGAGAACTATATTCATCAATCAGCCCCAGCTAACCAAATTCTGCAATAACCATGTCAGGTATTAAAAACACTAGAACATTGCATGTTTCATGACAAAACCAAAAAGATTCTGTTTATTTCACTTCTGTCATTTCCTTTGACCACTAATTACAGTCTTAGACTCTGGTGGGGAGAATGAAGTGAATTGAGGAGACAAATAGAGCTGTTTCAGTTACAAATGTGACCTTCTGAATTTTTAAGAATGTGGTGGGGAAGGTATGGATGCTTTACAGCTGTACCATCAGCAAGTCCTGGAGGATGGATTATTTCTTCAGGTTTCTGTTCAGTTCATCTTTGAACACATTCATGGTAGCTGAATTCCAGCGCAAATGTACCGCACTTAAACACAGCATTGTTTTTGCTTTGGAAATACTTGTCTTTTTCAGTCAGCCAAAGATGCTGTGGTTGCTTATGAAACTAGTTTTGAATTTAAAGTTCAGGCTTTAGGGACTCTGCTGATGGTTTATGTTGTGGCTTTTTGTTTGCTTTTGATAGATTTTAAGTCATACACTAAATACTCATACGTAATGTAAGTTTAGATCTGATACCATCCTCAGTTCTGTTGTTTAAAATTCAAAGGAAATGAGTGGCAAAAATATCTGTGTCCCAAGTAGGTGTCTTTTCTGAAGCTACCTTTGATAATGTGCAGAAATTTTGTAGACATGGAGAATAATGTGGTGGGATATTCCATGGCCTTGAGAAACTTTGTAATGCTGTTGATGCTGTATACAACTTAACTTTTCTGTCTTTTGCTTTGTTACTTGACACTGTTGAGCTCTTTTGCAGGATACAGTCATTCCCTCTTGAAATTGACTGTTTTATGCAAAGTTAAAGTAAATATTACTGACTTATAGAGGAGTTAAAATATTCTTACAAGTTTTTTGCTCATAAGTTTTTGGCATGTTGTTTTCATATTTATTGTTTTAGGACCTTAGATGGTGGCAGTCTGTTCTTAAACAGATGTAAGGCTGACAAAGAGCTAGGAACTCAAACATTTTGTGATGATGGCTTAGCAAAGATTGTTGCCCTAGGATAAATTATATTCTCTTCTTCCAGCCTAGCTAAACCATACTTAATATCCAATATTTATCAGTTTAAAATAAAAAAACGAACTTTCCATTCAGTGAAGGGTACAGGTTATGTATTTTAATGGAATTTTTAAATTAAATTATTTCTTAAATGCACCATTTTGATTTAGTTGATCATGTTATTAGGGTTTTTGCATTGAATCATGCAAACTCATACCCAGCACAGAAACTCCACATCTCCTCAATCCTGACTTTTCAGTGTCCACATTGCACTTGTTATACCTCTTTCCCCAACAATTCTGTTTGATCTGGAGCCACTGTGCAGTTGCCAGCCATAACCTTCAGGGTAGGTCCTTGTCCAGATGAGGTAGGTAGGTGCCTACCCTGCCAGCACCCTCAGCAGGGGCAGTGTAACTGCTTGACTCCTAATAAACCTTAATTTTTTTTCCTCTCCTTTTTCCTTGTAACTGAGGGGCAGCAGAGCTTGACTGCTTCCAGTGGAGCAGCTGAGGTGAGGAGGGACCTTCATATCTCAACATGGCAGCTCATGACAGTCTCTGTGGGTGGCAGGAGCTTCCCTGGGTGAGCTGTTCATGGACATCTGCGGGATGTCACTGTGGAAGTCATTTAGTTTCACTTTAGCCAAAACAAATGTGTACTAGCACAGGAATCACAGAGGCTTCTGTTTTATTTGAAAGCTTGTGTAACTGAGAGGAAAAGAATACATTTGAAGAATTTTTTGTACTGTAATAAAAGCATGTGTTTTTGTCTCTTTCTTTCAGCACTGCAAAGTACAACATAATCACATTCCTGCCAAGGTTCCTTTATTCCCAGTTCAGAAGAGCTGCTAATGCATTTTTTCTTTTTATTGCATTACTTCAGGTAAGATCAACAATAAGATTCTAATGTTTTAAACTTGTGAAGAGAGCATTTATGCCACAGACAATGTTTTGCAGAGATACTAAGATTGCTGTACCATTCTTTCCGAGCTAGCTGGCCTCTCAGAATAGCTGTATTGTATAGATGGACCTTTAATAAATGTTTGGGTGTGTGGTTCATTTACTCCTTGCAGATAAAAAAATGCACACAAATATTTTTCTGTAAAACAGGTTAAGTGTAGCTGAAATACTGTCAGGTGAAAAAGTCTGTTGCGACAAGAAAATTCTATTTAAAAATATCTGGCATACACAGAAAAGTGTTATATGTAGTTGCCATTTCTTCTAATGGAGGGTACTGCCTAAAAACCTGAACTTTGTGAATTTTAATCCTTTTATTCTTAGAGATAAGGATTGAAATTGAGACTGGACAAAGAAACCCATTTGTGGAGTCCAGTACTGTAGCAGCTATTTCCCATATACCAGCTGGTCAATATGAAAGTTAGGAGGGAAGTACACAGTCTTTTCTGTACCACCACTGTAGCTTCATTAAGTGTGTTTGTAAAGTGCATTCCCTGATCCAGCTTACTGGGACTTTTTTGAAGAAGTACATAACATTTTGCGCACCTATCAGAATATTTTAATTGTGTAGTAGTTCAAGTTGATAAAGTGGACTGTGGTTTTTTCTATATTATTATTTGGATGCATTAGTTGATGATGAATGAAAATTTAACTGTGGTCAGGTGCACTCATAATTACCATTGACTAGTTCTGCATTTCAAATATATTTGATAAAAACACATTTTCTGCATAATTTCTAATGCATTTTTGAGAATGTGTTGGTTTGTTGGTTGTGAAGGTCATTGTGTTAGGGATTGATGTATGAAAAAATATTACTGAAAAATAGCACATAAACTACCATGTGTACTTTTTTCTCCCTCACTTCAGATGTTTCTGTAAGTGAAAGTGCTTTAAGTGCTTGGGGCAGTTTCTTAGGATACATCTGCACAAGTAGCTTACACTGTTTTCTAGGGGGAAAAAGGTTCAGGGTTTCATTAGGTTTTCTGCCTGCAAGCCTGTGGCTTCTAAATAAACGTCTGCTAATCTCATCTGGCACCTCAGGCTAATCCAGTGGTCCAGCAGGGTTCCTTGTGGTACCACTGTGCATCTCAAGCTAATGACACAGAATATGAGGTTTCAGAAACTGTTTGAGGCTTGGCATGACTGGGTGAGAGGCTGGCATGTAGCTGTAGGGAGTGTTAGGAAGTGGAGTGTTGGGACTTCCAAGCCCGCTATGTCGTGTCAGGCTATCAGTGAGACCACAGTGTCGGGAGAAAGGGATATGGGGTGATGGAATCAGCGTACAGGCTGGTGACCCTTTTGCCTTCATATTTTGCATGGAAAATCACACGCAATTAGAAGGGGAGTTCAGACATACATGTAGAGAGGAATGAAGATATAGGAATAGCTGGAGAAGTGATAGATCCCTTTCCATTGTAGCAAGCACATAGGCACTTACCCAGCAGTAACTTTCTGCCTCATTCCGTTCCATAATTCCTTGAAAAATGTGGTCTGGAGCATACAAACATATAACATCCTGTTTTCTTTCAGTAGTACAATGTGGTGATAGCAAAAAGAAATGTATATAACTCATAAGTAACACTGGCTGTTGTTTTGGCCATTTTATGGTAAATTGAGTATGTCTTCTAGCTGCATTGAGGCACCACTAGTTAGTGAACTCTTTTCTTGTAGAGATCTCATTGTCATCACGCTGTATTACCCGTTATAAGTCTGTTAAGGCAGCAATCCATTCAGCTATCCATAATATGGATAATTGCCATTAAGAACTCTAGTCAGTACAAAAATAATTATAGATAAGCATCCATGTGTATCATATAAGTAGCTGAATTGTCTCATCATTTACTTTATGTATACAGCCACTTGCATCATCTGTGGCCATACCTTCATAGCAAAAATGGTTTTTTTACAGTAGACTGGCAGAAAGCAGCTATTTGAAATTTGTCAGTTAATATCTATTATGATACAAGATATGTCATAAGATACTAAAACTGTAAAGAAGCAAATGTACCTGGGACTAGTGTCCACTCTAACATCTAAACTGACAGAATTAGTTGTGTTTTGTAGATAACTATTTTCATTTAATTTGAAGCACAGAAAAGGAAGGTGAATATTCTGCAAACACTAAAACCTCTGGAAATAGCGCCATTGGACACTGTACTATTTAAAATCCAAATGTGCTTTTATTGTGTCACCTATTTTTGAATAGAAGGCAGTAAACTTCTCTTGGAAATAGTCAGCACCATGTCTAAAAGTGAATTCTCTTGTCGTTATTTGCTCAGGAAGTGCCGCTGCATGTATTAAAAATATGTTTTCAACCAGCAATGCAAAAAATTTTTTTCTTTCTGTTTTGTTTTTAATAGCAAATACCAGATGTATCACCAACAGGCCGCTACACAACATTGGTTCCTCTTTTATTTATTTTAGCTGTAGCTGCAGTGAAGGAGATAATAGAGGATATTGTAAGTATTTTTTAGCAATATTTTTAAATAGTTTTCATATTTTTCATTTATAATATTGAAGAAATTTTCCTGAATAATTCTATGTTGACGCATTCTTGCCTTCTGGATGCTTTTGAAAGCTTCTGATGCTACTTATTTCCAAAGATGAAATCTTAGAAATATGGTGTTAGAATTCAGAAGTGTGTTTACTATGTATATGAGTGACAATAGCATGACAAAATAGTGACTGTTGTGTTTATTATATAGATTGTTTCTAGCCAAATAGTTCTTAGTAATGAAGTGCAAGCATATTTTCGAAGTGGGAGGTAGAACCAAAACTCCATAGAACCCAGTCATGTGAAGAATACTGCCTTCAGTATTGGAAGATACTGACTTCATCTCAGGTGGAATCTATTTTAAAAACAAATAACCGTTAAATATTTATTTGGTTAGAAAAAATTTTTTTTCCTTCCTCCATGAGCAAAGTCCTTTACTTCCTCTATTTATACTTTTGAGATGGATTTAAGCTCATTCTGTGAAGGAGATACTAGATTAACATTTACAGAAGAATTGTGAGAACTTCTGGCTTTAGGCATTGAAGAAGGTAGGATTAAAAAATCTTTCTGGAATACTTTTTTAAAACTTCAGTTGAGGTGACTTTCAAAAATGCATGAGCCATCTGGAATTCTGTTGAGGATCTAGGAGGCTGCACAGTCTCAAGCAGCTTCATTTGTCATCCTGGTGACAAGTTTTGACCTTGGCTGGACACCAGGTACCCACCAAAGCCATTCTATCACTCCTCTCTGAAACTGGACAGGGGTGAGAAAATACAGTGAAAGACTCAAGAGCTGAGATAAGGACAGGGAGAGATCACTGAGATCACTGTCCTGGACAAAACAGACTCAATTTGAGGAAATTAGTTTAGTTTATTACTAATCAAAATCAAAGCAGGATAATGAGAAGTAAAACAAATCTTAAATACATCTTGTCCCCCACCCTCCCTCCTGGGCAGAATTTTATTCCCAGTTCTTGCCCAGTTCTTCCCTCCTTGCCCCCAGTGGCTCAGGGAGGCAGGGAGTGGGGTTACAGTCGGTCCATCACATGTTGTTTCTGCCAGTTCTTCCTCCTTAAGGAGAGGAGTCCTTCCCCTGTTCCAGCGTGGGGTCCCTCCCAGGGGAGACAATCCTCCACAAACTTCTCCAGCCTGGGTCCTTCCCACAGGCTGCAGTTCTTCACAGACTGCTCCAGCATGGGTCCCTTTCCACAGGGTATAGTCCTTCAGGAAGAGGCTGCTCTGGCGTGGATGCCCCACAGGGTCACAAGGCCATCAGGAAACCTGTGTGAGCTCCTCCCTTGATGGGGCTACAAGGTCCTGCCAGGAGCCTGCTCCAGCGTGGACTTCCTGCGGGGTCACAGCCTTCTTTCAGGCATCCTCCTGCTCTGGCGCAGGTCTCCTCCATGGGCTACAGGTGGATCTCTGCACCCTTGTGGACCTCCATGGGCTGCAGGGGCACAGCACATGGTCTTCACACAAGCTGCAGGGGAATCTCTGCTCCAGTGTCTGGAGCACCTCCTCCCCCTCCTTGTGCACTGACCTTGGTTGTTTCATTCCAGTATTTTTACTCCACTCTTCTCTGACCATAACTACTTCTTCACAAGAACTTTTTTCAGTTCTTAGATACATTATCTCAGAGGCTTTACTACCACTGTTGATGGGCACAGCCTTGGCCAGTGTCAGGTCTGTCCTGGATCCGGCTGGCATTGGCTCTTTCATCCATGGGGGAAGCTTCTGGCAGCCTCTCACAGAAGCCATCCCTGTAGCCCCACTGCTACCAGAACCTTACCATGTAAAGTCAGTACACTGGATGGCGTTTTGTTTCCCAACAAAGTAATTCCTGGACCAATCTAAAAAGTGTCCTTTAGCTTGCTACTAAATTTACAATGTTTCACTTTATTATGTTTAGAATAAATAGTAACCTATTTGGTTTAATATATTTTGATGAATGAGTACAGGTCACCCGTGTAATTTTTGAAGTTTTAAAAATGGATTTTCCCTAGCTGTCAAATCCAGGTCCAAGCATCTATTTATTTCTAAAGTCAAATGCATAAAACCCTTAGTTTCCCTATTGTGACTTTGCATGGTGGTGTAGATAGCAAGGGGAAAAGACCTGTTCAGTTGTTCCCATTTCTCAGGTTCACTGCAATTTACTGTTAGTCTTTCATGTCTTGGTCCTAAGTGTGATCTGCTGACTCCTAGTGGCCTGGAACAGACACAAAATGTTGGTCTTTGTTAGGCAGGTGCCTCCACCTATGCCAGACTTTCTATGCTCTTTCCAGTCGGTGTCTATGGTAGTGATTTTTCCTTGCGTTGAATGAAAACTTTAAAAGATCTGGGACACTGTCAACATGGAAGTGTTTGTTCTGAATTATTTTGTTTTGAGGTGAGAGAAAGGAATTTCAATCTCTGTTTCACTTTATACAAAAGGTGTTGGGATTTTCTGAGTACCTTCTTGTCCTCTCTCCACAAAAAGCATATGATGGAACCTATCTATCTAACTTGCTTAAAATAATTGAGTCTTTTAGTTGATGTCTTTTGTATCTAAGGAATTAGTCTTGATGATTTGCCAAATCACTCTAGATGCTAAGAATTTCTTTATTAGCTTTTGTTCTGTTTTGTTTGTTTTTTCTGCAGGTATGTTGTGAGGAGGATAATGCATTAGACACATCATAATATGTGAAAGTACCCTGTCCAATAGAGGGATAACGTTCCTGTTTGTGGGCTGTTCTCTTGTGTTTTGGAAAGGGTTGCAGGTAGCATAGTCTTTCCCTGCACACAAATAGTAAGCTCCCTGGGAGCATTGTATTTGTGTTTGAGCAGAATTACAATGTATGGGCAGAAATGTGATCAAGAGGAAGAGAGAGCGTTGAGCTGGAAAGGAGGTTTGGAATGGAGAGTGGCTGGTTCACATGCTGCCTTTCTTGCTGATACAGTCCACTCAGTCTTTTCCTCAGTTACCTCTATGAACTGATGGTAGGCGAGGTACAGACCCCTGGGTTCTATCAAGCTCCTGGGTCACAGAGTTGAGTGGTCCTGCAAGACGCAATGAGGTTTCCATGAAATATTTTTCTTCTATTTGGAATTTCTAGTTTTTGCTCTGCTGTAGTCACCTTCTCCTTAAATACCTTTGTTGCTTTCTCTTTTCATAAACAAAACCCCTTTTAGAAAAAAGGCATAAAATGAATTCATGTTCTTTCATATATTTTTAACCATTTTGCTGTTAATGCTTACAGACTTACACCATCTGTCAGTGTCTAGGCAAATATAAAACTGAGGCTGTTGCTCCTATACAAAGTGTCCGTTTTAAAATTATCTCATCCAGTCACTTTTCTTTTGTCGTTTATTTTTACCATTTGCTCTTTGCAACATGAAGTGTTTGGCTTGGTGTGGGGAGTAAGACAGGGATAAGGATTAGTGGGTTTTGCATATATCAGCTAAACCAATAAAGTTCTCATTGCCAAATGCTATAGAGATAATTAAGAGCAATACAGCTTTACTGTTTTTTCCTGGGAAAGCTGACCACTTGCTGCATAGTAAAAAAGAAAAAATATTCATTGTTTTCCCTTAAGCTTTACTTTTCATTATCTCTGTGTTTCTTTGCACAATGAGATACCTAGGATCTCCAGGAATGTTAATCTTCATGTAATATTAAAGCTTTTGAATAGGAACCCTATATATTGATATCAATAAATATACTTATTAAGTACTACTTTCAGCTCAAGAACCAAATGTTTCTTTTTCTGGAATGAAATCCCAAGAAGAAAAAGATGTTAGCAAAAGACATTATTCATGAACAGCATGTGTTTCCCATATATGCTTCAAAAGTGCTAGCAAAATTTGTGACATGCAGTGCTAGATTGTCAGATGTTTCC